ACTTTTTTATCCTTTTTTTGAGACAGAGTCTCGCCCTGTCACCCAGATTGGAGTGCAACAGCTCAATCTCAGCTCACTGCAACCTCCACCTCCCACGCTCAAGCAATTCTCCTGCCTCAGCCTCCCCAGTAGCTGGAGATACAGGCACACACCACCATGCCTGGCTAATTTTTGTATTTTTAGTAGAGAGGGGGTTTCACCATGTTGGCCAGGCTGGTCTCCAACTCCTGGCCTCAAGTGATCCATCCGCCTTGGCCTCTCAAAGTGCTGAGATTACAGGCGTGAGCCACGGCGCACAGCCTGAAAGTTCTAATCTTCTGACACAGAAAAGATATTCCATGAAGTAACAAAAAAGAAAACTTTATGAACATAAAATTAACCATACAATTTAAATATTCTGTATGCCTTTTCTTCACAATATAAAGAGCTGAATAAATTAAAACACATGAAACTAGTATGTCTATAACAGCACTCTGTCATTGGCTAACATTCTGAAAATTCTACTTTTTTAACGAAACCAGTTATATCAGATTTACATCAATTTAAAATTTGTAATTTGTAATTATACCATGGACAATTCAGAATGCTCACAGTGGCACATGTCTTTAAGACTCTGTTTCTACTTTAAAGATATGCCCAGTCTACTGTCATATATTTTAAACAATTTGCTAAAATATCAAGACGTATCAATAAAATGCAGAGCAGTTTTATACTACCTATGGTTTCATAAATCCACCTCCTCAGCAGGGCAGGGTGCAGTGGTTCACGCCTGTAATCCCAGCACTTTTGGAGGCTGAGGCAGATGGATCACTGAGGTCAGGAGTTCGAGACCAGCCTGGCCAACATGGCAAAACCGTCTCAACTAAAAATACAAAAATTAGCTGGGCATGGTGGCATGCGCCTGTAGTCCTAGCTACTCGGGACACTGAGGCAGGCAAATCGCTTGAACCCGGGAGGCGGACGCTGCAGTGAGCGGAGGTCACACCACTGTACTTCAGCCTGAGTGACAGAGTGAAGACTCCATCTCAAAAAAAAAAAAAGAAAAATTAAAAAAAAAAAATCCACCTCCATTATCAGAAAAGTTTCCAGCTACAGTTGATTACAATTACAACTCAGTACTTTTAGAGAAATGTATCCTCGTGTCCCAGAAATGCCCTATCTGGTCAGGCATATTAGGACAGGCAATTCTAGATTCCAAACTACTAAATGAAAACAGGCAGGACAGTTTATAGGGAGAGGGCACTACAAACAGGGGAAGGCATGACGCTCATGAAGAATGGTCCAACCTGTAACTGCAATGTACTGCTGATGTAAGTCGTACTTTAATTGTGAATTATCTTGCCCATCTGAGAAATTAAAAGCTGTACAAAAATCTGATCACCAATAATTAAACTACTTTATAAAATGGCACTGTTATTAAATATGTATAATTTTATATCAGCACCCATCCTACAGTTGATAGGCAATTCTCACTTAAATGTCTTATTTGACAACATGAAAAGCAAAAAAAATTTACTATCCCTATTCTTAAATTACAAACTGCTATGAAACTATCAATTCAATGCTTCTTACTTTAAAAAAGACATGGCGTCCTTTAAATAGTTTTTTAAAATGTTTTTCATTTTGATTTTTTAAAGTAGGTACCCAAAAATGCTGCTTTTACGTAAGGAAAATGGAAGTCTTATTTCAGAAACTATTCTAGTGGAAAACTCTAAATACCACAGGCCAGGGAAAAAAAAGGAAACTAACATTTATCAGACACCAATTGTATAAGTTAGGTGCCACATTTTGCCATTTTTACATCAACTCATTTAATCCTCATCATCTTGGGATGTGGGCATTATCTCCATTTTTCTAGAGGTTGGGTTATTTGCCTACAGTCACGCTGCTAGGTTTACAACCCAGTTCTTTCTGGCCCAAAGTCCTCTTTTCTTCACTACACACCAAATTATAAAAGACTTGTCTTCTTTTAAAACAAAAAAAATTTTTTTTTTTTTTGAGACTGAGTCTCGTTCTGTCGCCCAGGCTGGAGCGCAAAGGTGCGATCTCAGCTCATTGCAACCTCCACCTCCAGGATTCAAGCGATTCTCCTGCCTCAGCCACCCGAGTAGCTGGGATTACAGGCGCACACCACCACACCCGGCTAATTTCTGTATTTTTAGTAGAGATGGAGTTTCACCATGTTGGCCAGGCTGGTCTCGAACTCCTCACCTCCTGATCCACCTGCCTCGGTCTCCCAAAGTGCTGGGATTACAGGCATGAGCCACTGCCCCTGGCCAATGTTTTTTTATTTTTTAAGCATCAGTTTGGTGAAAAATAAAAGATTTGCCTTCTTATAATTTTTCCTAGAACAAAGTCAAGGGCTTGACATCTAGGACAACATAATGGCAAAGCTCCTATACAGAACTTGGGGAGGATTATTTAAAATCAAACGATGCATACATAAATAAAAATTATAATCATCACAGATTCTAGACATCTAATATTTTGTGTACCTATAAGAATATATATATGTGAATAATCACACTGTGCATGTCTCAAACTATGCGGTCTAATAGAGAATTCAATTTTGCAATATCTAGAGTTTTCCCTCTTTATGATCTGTACACATAAATGATCAGATTCCCAGCATCGAACGTGTACAAAACAAAAGGAGATAATAATAGGAATAAACAGAAGGGTAGGCACAAAAGGAAAAAAAAAAAAAAAAAAAACCCTACCGTATCTTCTAGAACCTAAACAGGAAAACCGCTCTGCCTCGATTTCTGGATTGTTTATATATTTAAAGCTTGATGACTATCTTGGATTTTTTTATATTCACATTATTTATTGAAAAGCAAACCAAGCCACTCTTCCTAGCACTTCATTCCAGACAAGCCAAGTTAAGCTAAAATGTAAAATTTACATGGTTTTCCAAGCTCAAGTATTTAGGAGTTAAGAACCACAATGTATGTAACTTACTCTTAAATGGTCCAGGGGAAAAACATTTTGTGTGTGATAGAGAGCAGTAATAAATGCATAAAATGTTAACAGGTGAATCTGAATAAAGGTTACAAAGATATTCTTTGTATTATTATTCTTATTCTTGCAATTTTTCTGTAAGCTTAAAATTACTTCCAAATAAAGTTAAAATTTAATAATTACACAGCATTCTATTTGAAATTAACAATATGTACTTGGATTACACAGCAACATTCTTACAAATACAAAATACTGGTTTTTACGGGAAAAAATGCAGTAATTTGTGAGCAAGTACGTACCATATCCTACCAACTAATTATCACTTAGGAGTAAATTTCAGACTAGCCTACCATATAATGAAATGTGACAATGGTAACTTGACTTGAAACCATAGCAGGAAAACACAAACACACCACATAGTTTTGCATAACTGCTTCGCAAATTTAATACAGGCCTGCTGCAAAAAGCAGCAATCTACAATTAAAGTGATATGTGATATCTCTTGTTTGCAGTAAAATACAAACTGAACAATGAAAACCTGGTCATATTACAAAACAGAGATGGAGAGTAAGTCTTGGTTTTGATAGTTTTATTAAATAAGATTTTTCCACCGCAGCTCAGTTCACAACAGTATACTTGAATCATCTAAAGAAAGCAAGGACGGGGAAGAAACATCCTGGAGAAATGTTGAAATCTTTTCTCCTCCAAGGTTACTATCACCCTGCCTGCCCATCCCAATTTGATTTCAAGTATTCACTATGCTGGTCTGAAACACAGGATGCATCAGAAGCCAAGTAATGCTCAGCGAAAGTTCACCAAAATTGTGAAATCAAACATTAAATAATAAACGTTTTCAGTTGACAGTAAAATATCTTTAAAAGATCATCTCTAGCCTTTCTTTCTGCAGGATCCACCCACTTTAAAATCCTTTGGTAAATTCCCAGGTCTACCCTAATTGAATGGTCCCTCTCTATCTGCTCAAGCAGTTCTTAACCCTTTGTAGTGGGGATAGGGGAAGGTGGACATCACGGCAAATATGGACCCTTACCAAAGAAAATTATTCACAAATGCAAAATTCTACACACATTTCCAAAGACTTTCAGAACCCCACGGCCATTATCCCCACCCCTCCCTAAGAATCCCACTGTGGCGTGCTCCTCCATAGCCTCTGCGGAGCACCCCCCCGCCCCCAGGCCACAGCCACCGGCTCGCCCCCGGAGAGACTGGAGTTCCTGCTCTCACACAGCGGATTCCGTAACTGAGCTTTGTCTCCTCGCCCAACTCCCTTCACCCCGGCAAGGTCACTACCGCCAACTACCCCTTTAAGCCGAGCCATCACGGTAGGAGTTCGTAAGAGCCACAGCAGAACTTGCCTGTCATAGGATACATTTTGTCCCCTCGGCCCCACCTACCCTCCCATTTCGGCAAGTTACGTCTTTACCACTCGCCCATTCTACAGAAATAGCCGCCGCCGCCACCCTCAGGCTCGCCCCGGCCCCGCCGCTCCGCCTCCAGCGCCCCCAGGCCCATTCCCCGCAGACCCTCCCCAGGCCGCCCTCCCCTGCCCTACCCCAGGCGCTCCCTCTCCCTCGCAGCCACACCGTAGCTGCACTCGCCGTCCCCTCTTCCGGCCGCTACCACCCCGGCCCCCCAGAACCCCAGCCTCCCGCGCCCGCAGCCGCGTTCCTGCCTCCCCCACCTCCGCACCCCGACTTGGCCCGGCCTCCTCGCGTTCCTCCCGGCTCCTCCCCTCAGGACACCTGTGTCGTCCCACCCCCTCCGCCACACACGCCCCCACCCCCCACCCCAAATCCTTCGCCTCCCGGTCCTCCCTCCCACGCCGGTCTCCCCTCCCCCCTGCTGCCCCGACAGAGCCCGAGGTGGGAGGGAAGGCGCGGGGGAGAGGAGGCCGCGAAGGGGGCCGCTCTTCTCCGGGTTCCCCGTGCCACGGACCTGCAGGGCTCCCCAGCGCCCTCTGCCTCCTCCGCCGGCGGGGCGGAAGTCGGGGTCTCCCGGGCGCCCCCGACGAGGGTATTTACCTTCTTGCCAGGAACACTTTGCAGACGGCTCCAACATTGGCAAACAGTACAGAGAACTGACCCCGCTCGGCCGCCGCCGGCTTCCACCCCTCGGGCTCCCCGCCCCCCGCCTCCGCCCGCCTCCGCCCGCCTCCCGGGCATAAGTAAATTGCATCCAACACTCTTTCATGATAAAAACAGCCATCAACCTAGAAATAGAAGATAATTTCATCAACCGCATGAAGAATCTCTATGAAAAACCCACAGCTAACATAATACTTAATGGTGAAAGACTGAATGTTTTCCCACTCAGAGCAGAAACAAAAGGTTTAATCTCTTGCCACTTCTATCCAAACATTGTACTGGAGGTTCTAGCCACAACTGTTAGGCAAGGAAAAGATTTTAAAGGCATCTAGATTAGCAAGGAAGAAGTAAAACCATCTCTATTCAGAGATGACATGATATATATAGAAAATCCTGAAGAATCTACTGAAAAACTATTCGTACTGATAAGTGAGTTCTGCAGATTTGCAGGGTAGAAGATTAGTATACAGAGATCAGTTGTATTTCTATACCCTTGCAATGTAAAATACTATCCAGAAAAGAAGGAAACAATTCAATTTACAATAGCATCAATAAGAATAAAATTCTTAGGAATAAATTTAACAAAAGAAGTACAGAACTTATACTCTGGAAAGTATTAATAAGTGTAAAAACAACATTGAAAGAAAGAAACTTAAGAGTCTAAATGATTGGAAAAACATGTCCATTTACTTGGGTTATAGAAGTAACCATTGTCAAGACGGATACTGTTTCCACATTTCAGGCAATCTCATCAGGGAATTTAAGCCTGACTTTTTTGTACATGAATTGACAACCTTGATTTCTAAATATTTATATGGCATTGCAAGGGACACAACATATGCCAGAACACAGTCTTTCGGGAAAAAAGATTGGTCATTCCAGGCCATAAGAACTGGAAGGAGAAAAGAACAGTAATTCTCCTCTAGGGTTTTTTTTTGCAGGACGGAGTTTCCTCTCTTGTTGTGCCCAGGCTGGAGTGCAAGGG